GATCCTTATTATAAGGAACCCCAAATAAGGTACCCTAATTTTCGGAAACTCCCTTTTGGGTTTTGGGAAGTTCAGACCCAGGCTGAAGTTTGGGGGTTTAGGATCGAGAGAAAGGTTAAAGGAAACTACAGGTGAGGAGTTTAGGGTATATAGGGCTTCTATAAGGCTTCTATAAGGTATATAGACCTTCCTTATCATTTCTGGAAATGTCCTAGAAAAGGGCAAGCAATCTTGCGCTGAGCTCACAATCTCGCCAGCCGTGCCCCGTTGAGCCAAACTTGATTCCAACTGAACGCATCGGCGAGCCTCAGCTGTTCCTAGACACACACGAAAAAGTTTAAAATTCCCCTGGACCCTAAACCCGGAAGCCCTGAACCTTTAAACTTCGAAGCGCTAAACCCTAAAGCCCCGAAAGCCCTGAACCTTTAAACTTCGAAGCCCTAAACCCTAAGCCCAAAAGCCCCGAACCCTTAAACTTCGAAGCGGACCATATTATAGGGGCCTTAATAATTAGAATAGGGCTTGGGGTATACTATGCTGTAGTTATAGTAAGGAACCCCCAAAACCCTATTCTAATTATTAAGGCCGCTACCCTAAACCCTAAACCCTTAACCCTTAACCCTTAACCCTAAACCCTGAACCCTAAACCCTAAACCCTAAAACCTAAACCCTACAACTCAAAACCTAAACCCTAATTCGCACCTTTGGGCAGTCAGCCAGGCCGCAGGACACGAGGGTATCGGACCGCAGGTCTAAATAAGTCGTGGTAGAAGTTTGGTATTAGCAGGTTTAGTATGTTTAGTAGTACTATGAGTATTATTGTAGTATCTTTATTCTTGGTATTATGATGATTATTGCTAGCATGTGTTATTGTAGTTTTTTTGCAGTGTAATATACCTCTAAACCCTCGTCTTCTTATTGTTGAAGCCCGGCCAAAGTAGGTCCCTCAAACCTTAAACCCTAAACCCTAAGCCTTTCAACTTCAAGTTCTGTGTAATGGTGTTTCGGGAGTCGAGCGTTGAACATCGGCGGGAAACCGGGTCACCGCAGTCGGTTTGCAGATCTGCAGGTGCCCATTCTAGGGGCCTTCATAATTAGAATAGGGTTTGGGGGTACATTATACGATACTTATAGTAAGGAACCCCCAAACCCCTATTCTAAATATTAAGGCCCTTACCTTAACTATTGCCTGAACTCGCAACCCCAGTACCCTAAACTCTGATACCTAGGTCCCAGCCTTGGAACCTCTGGCAATTCCCTCAGCAGGAAAATTCCGAGCTCCGGCAAGCGCAGGCAGTGGGACGATGGAGTGTTTAGGGTTTAGGGTTTAGGGATAAGAATAAGCTCACAGAAACCGATGCTTTGGGTGTAGGGCCCCTAAACCCTAAACCCTTCTTCAAAGCCTTAGAAGAAACCCCTTGAAGGAATTCGTCTATTTATGAAGGCCCCTGTATGATCTTCGATGACCGTGATGCTATAACTCTGGAAGACTCGGGGGCTAAAAAAAGGGCATATGGGACATAGCTTCACTACAAGGGGATTTATAGGGGATATAGTGTTTGCTTATGTGTATTTTTTGGAGAACCTATACCTTAGGTGTCAGAAAGGCTATTTTGAAGGACATCCCTAACGGGGATTTATTGGGGATGTAGTGTTTGCTTATGTGTATTTTTTGGAGGCTTATACCTTTGTGTCAGAAAGGCTAATTGAGGGACCAGGTGTCAGGATATTCCTTAGGAAAACATCCGATAGCATGCAGTATTACAGGGCTGCGTACACAGACCTTCATTCCCAGGCCTGTAGTCACTGTACTTGTAGGATCATGGGACTTAGTAAGTAAGGTTATAAGTCCTTTAATTGGGGTTATATGTGTAGTTACCTTAGTTATACCCCTACTTAAATAGTCCCATGATCCTTTAAGTAGGGTTTAGGGTTCTGTAGTCTGTTGGAGCCTCCTATGACCTGGTCCAGCGCAAATCTTTGGAAAATCAGAAGCTAGGGGAACTGACTAAGACTGTTTAGGGTTTGAACATGGGCAAGTATGCTCAGGAATCGTTCAGGGCCCTACATGCTAGATATCGGGTTTAGGGTTCAGGAGGGGATGGTCTTTAGAGGCTTCAAGGCAGATAACCCATAGCTACTGAGACATAATCCTCATGAAGCCCTTCTAGAACCCTTCTGGAAACCCTTTCTCGAACCCTGAACCTCAACCTCAACCCCCAAAAGCCAAAAGTCCTACTCGAGAAGCCCAAAGAAGGGTCTTAGGGTTTCGGGTTGAGGGTGAACCTAAAGCCTTAAAGACACCTACGTATTCTGATGGCCTCATTTTCCTCCAAGCTGTGGCTTCGATTTTGTGGTGGAAAGCAATATCACGAAAACCTATATGTATGAGTAAGCTGCATTCAACCTTACAGCCCTAAATCCCTAGTTGCCTCAAAACTAGTCACTTGAAAACCTCCAAACCGTAAAACCAAACTCTCTCAACCGCCTGAAGCCTTAAATGAGATCCCAGAACCCAAACATCAGCGAACATCCGATCATTTTTTTTATCAGAAAGCACCAGGCCGGGACCGATGAGCTGCGCCAGAAGCTTCGGGAGGCGGGTTCCACAACAGTCCAGGTTTTAGAACCCAGAAGAGACTCAACACCAGGAAACCTTGATTTCAAGAGGGCCACTGCCAGGTCCGTATTAGCTTGGGTTTAGGGTTTAGAGTTCGGGTTTAGCTTCAGAGCGGTTTAGGGTTTTTGGAGCCCCCCCAAAACCAAAAGACTCAAACCTCGACGGCTACCGGTTACAAGCTATGTACTAGTACGAAAAATCTAGCAATGGCATCATAATTATTGTAATTATTAGCTATTGCTCTTTTCGGGCTCGTGATTCTTACTTTTAGATTCGTTAATAGTGATTGCTAGGATCATTCTTTA